CTACTAAATTAATGGGTTTTAGGTTCTACCAGACGAGCACCATGCTCCGAAAATGGTATCGATCCACCGGTGTGTAGCGCAACTTGGCTATCACGGTTCTCACGCACCACACCAGAAACTGCTTTCCAATTATCAATGTTTCAACGATCGACCATCTGGATCCACACATCTGAAGATATCCAGCTGGGGGGGGGGGATTCTTCAACACACTCATATCCCGGTGGAGGTCCATTTCATCGTACTGAGGATACCCATTCATCCTTACTTTTTCCCCAACTTTCTTCCTCGCGGCACTTATGTTATCATTATACGGCTTGGCCGACTTTCTCTCCCATGTCTCCAGGATCTGGGCGTCCAAAGTCGGATCCCAAGTATAATAGCCTTGTACGTAAAAGTTTAGGCGATTCTTAGGTTCAAAACAATACATAAAATATAATAAGTTGAATATATAACACAAACCTGGAACCGCTCCCATATTCGGCGTCTCACGTTCTTTGGGATTTTTTACCAACTGATCCATGGGCTGTCAAGCAGCTCTCGGTTGATCTTGGTGATCCGACGGATCACTTTGGTGTCACTGAAACTAAATCCTCAATATGTTCCATTAAAGCCCGATACGTTCCATTAAAGCCCAATACGGTCCATTAAAGCCCGATACATTCCATTAAAGTCCAATCGTTCCATTAAAGCCCAATACGATCCATTAATTCCCAATCGGTCTATCAAAACCTAATACGGTTCATTCAAGACCAATACGATTCATTAAAGCCCAATACGATTCATTAAAGTTCAATACGATACATTAAAGCCCAATAGAACCGTTAAAGCCTAATACGATCCATTAAAGCCCAACTAACATTCATTAAAGCTCATTAACATCCGTTAAAGCCCAATACGATCCATTAAATCTCAACTAACATCTGTTAAAGGCCAATACAATCCATTAAATCCCAACAAACATCCATTAAAACCCAATATAACCGTTAAAACACAATACGATCCATTGAAGCCCAACTAACACTCATTAAAGCCCAATAGAACCGTTAAGGCCCATTATTATCCGTTAAAGTCCAATGTGATCGATTATTTAAAGAAAAGTTTGAAAATGAGAAAAAAAAATAATTCCGCCGGAAATAGTTAAATCTTTTTAAAAAAAATTAATTATCCGCCGGAAATTGTTAATTCTTTTTTTAAGAAAATATTTAATTATCCGCCGGAAATTGTTAATTCTTTTTTTTAAGAAAATATTTAATTATCCGCCGGAAATTGTTATATATCTATATATATATATACTATTTCTTATTTATTTTTTAAAATTCTGATAATCATTTCCGGCAGATAATTAAATTTTTTTTAACATTTAATTATCCGCCGGAAATCCGCTGGTAAAGTGTTGTAATTAGATGTAAATTCAAGATTAAACTAAGTAATTATGAAATCCGTCGGAAATCCGCTGGTAATCCGTGGGAGTCAACAGAAGTTGGCTTTTTTGGTGTCCCATGGAAATCCGCCGGTAATCCGCCGATAAATTACCGGCGGATTCCGTCCGCCGGAAATTGCGCCGGAAATGGCTAGTTTTCTAGTAGTGGACCCTATTATAAAAATCTTCTACAGATTATGTGTCCTTCATTCTAAGTGTATCAAACTTGCAATAAAGGGTCTGAAGTCTAACAATTTTAACTTTCTCTTCCCCACTCCATGCTTCTTTCGATGTCAAACAAGTAGAAATTCATTCAAATATTACTTCATCCACGGCCTGGAAGATAAAGAACAATGTTTTTTTGTCTTTCTTCTTCAATTTTTTAAGTTCTGTAGTTTGTTGTTGTGTTAGTGCAGTTTGTCCCACGGGTTCACTGTATCCGCTTTCAACAACTCCCCATAAGTCATGTGATTCGTAAAGCAATTTCATCTAAATACTCCAATGATAATAATTCTTCCCAGTTAATTTAGGAAGTTGGGGTTGAAGAACATTCTTGTTTGTTGCCATGATCGTATGTGTCGCTCTGATACCAATTTGTTGAATCCCAAGTTATAGCAAACACCTTTGATAAGAAAGATACCATAATACTGCACTTTTATTTCATATGTCACATAGCACATATACACCAACATTACACAATTTAGAATACCGGACACACACATATATATATACACGTAGAGACTAACTGCAAAATAATCGACTTATTGACAGTTAACTAAACACTAACTAACACTAACTTAAGAGACCCAATAGTCTAGATTACGATTTGTAACATTAATGATCTTAAGTTTGAGGTAGATATATTTGTCATGGTTTGTTGTTTCTCATCTTTTAGGGGTTTGTTCTGCCATTTTCTTTGATAAGCTAATGTATATATTTGATGGTGCTTCTACATTTTTTAAGGTAATCTTGATGTAATATACATAAGAGATACTTCGGCTCCCAACTTGTGTCCTATCTCGATATGTATCTACATAACAACGACCCAAATTAATTACAATTATTAACACCTAAAATTGCATATCAAAGCATGTTTTAACTTTGATGAAATCAAAGAATTACAATACGCATAAATAAACAAAAATCGCATTGGGAATGAGAACAAAAATATTTTGAAGAGAAGACTGAAACACCAGCTAGATCTGTGGTAGATTTGAGCAAAAGGTAGCCCTTGGTGAGGACAGAGATATCCATTTATAGTAAGTAGTCACCAAACCTAGGCAAGTAAATGTCCCAACCCCTTCTTCCCTTTCAATGGAATTTTTATCTTCTTGCATCATATTTGATCACCCTTCTCTCTCTCTCTCTAGATCTCTGTGTGTGTGTCTTACCCTTTTGGTCTTTTTCAGGGAGATCCGGGGAGCAACAATGGAGGAAAATGGAAGTGCGAGTAAAAGTCGTAGGTCAAGTGACTACAAAAATGGAGGGAGAGCAGCAAATAAAGCCATCATCAATTACAGGAAAGCTGCAAAAGATGATTATTGCTGGGAAAATAGCACTGGTGAAGAAAGTTTTGCTGATGGAGGAGATATAGTGGGTGAGTTTTCATGGCCTCCAAGATCTTATACTTGTAGTTTCTGTAAGAGAGAGTTCAGATCTGCTCAAGCACTTGGTGGCCACATGAATGTCCATAGGAGGGAAAAAGCAAGGCTTAGACAAATAACTCCACCAAGGTATCTTCCTCTTCTTCCTCCCTCATCTCAATACTTCTCTTCTAATTCCAAACTGCTTGACCTAAACCTTGATCCAAACCCTAACCCTAATATCTCAACATGTTTTGCTTCAAATACATCTCCATTTCCAACAATGTTCCCACCCTTCACATATTCTTCCATGTCACCACCTCCCTTGATCTTACCATCTCCCTCTTCTGTAAACCCTTGTTCTTGCTTTTTTCCTTTCTCTACTCCTTGCCCGTTACACCATCAGTGTTCTTCAGACAGTGCATGTTTTACTACAATGAGATCTGAAAAATCCAACCTCATAAGTGGTGGAGTTGATGATGTTTCCCATGAAAACAAGAATATGATCCTCAAGAAGTCAGAGACTAGTTTGCTTGTGGCGTCAAATCCTGATGATATGGATTTGGAACTTCGACTTGGGTGTTCTTAGGTTCATTTTGAGGATCTTGCTTAATTAGCATACCTATGTCAATAGGCTACTTTCCACAATTTTAAACCTTCAACGCTTAATATGAAGTCAAGAGGCCAGAGAAGTATGATGGGAGTCTTATGATCCCTATATATATATATACATATATTCAGTGGTTTGTAGCTTAATTGTTTAGTTTCTATAATATCAGGTTAACCAAAAGGTGATGTTTTTATGCCTGGACAATGGAAAGATATGTAAGATTCTAACCTACAAATTCTACATCATCTGAAACAAATTAGAATACAAAGCAAAAAATCAAATCATGTAACTTCATTTGATGACATACATATGTGTTGGAAGACCTAATCGTGTTGATTAAACAACGGATTGATTGTATGACAAAAGTTATTGTCCAAAAATAAAAATGTTTACATACAATTTACATGCTGAACCAATTAAGAGTTAAGGAATTCATAGATCTTGTACTCATACACTGTTATTTGGAGTTTGCTGGTTCAGCTTGAAGTTTGTTGTCCCTTGCTCCTCAGTTAGCTGTCTGTATGCTTGCAGCAAAGAATTTTAAGGAAAAATAACTTCATGTCCAAAGTAGTGATTATAAAGAATTACTTTTTGGTACATCTACTTAGCTCCAAACAAACTTACATATCAAATCAAATATATGGTTATCATTTAGGTAAATTAGCATGCAAGTATAAAAGGAGATTACTCCATAGTGTATATATATATATATATATATATACCACCTTAAGGTGGACTGGGGTGGGAATAAAGCAAGAACATAAATTGAATACTTGTAGTGACCAAAGCATGAAAGTCCATTACTACATCATACCAATTACCACCTTAAGATGGAGGTGAAAACCAGAAAGAGAGAATCATTATTGATTCACCAGAAAAGGTTTGATAATTCACAAAATCTAAGGTTGATGTTGAACAGTATCAAGTATTATGAAAAGCTATAAAGTAGCCATCTTCTTCAATAGGTTGGCAATTATATAATATATATATATATATATATATACACATGCACGCCATTCAAGGAAGAAATTAATAATGTGGTGAAATTCAATCTTTAACAATAAATCAAATGATAAATTATAAAGTTAATAGTTTTGTTAACTTTGACTTAAATTTTTATTTATAGGGCATTTTATGTATTGAAGAAATCTTATCTCTCCTCTCTCCGACGAAGATAAAATACGAAGATAAGATACACAAATGTGATACCTATAAAACATTAACACTCTTAAAAAAAATTACATATAAACGATCATCATTGTGATACCCACGATACATACGGTGCACGCACAACGATACCCATGGTATACATGTTGTGATACCCATTATATATACATCAATCCCCATTATATCCATTGTTTACAACATGTTCACAACATTAATAACCTTAAATGAGGATATCAAATTACTAATTTACCCTTTAACTCTATTTTAAGATAATAACATTAATAACCTTAAATAATTAACTCACATTGGATCTTATGTTATAACAAACTATCAAGCTCTCTTTTGATTAGACTCCTATATATATATATATATATATATATATATATATATATATAGACTTGGGATCACGTGAGACCAGTTTGTTTTTATGAGACCCGTGAGACTAGCTTTTTACACTTGAAACTTCACACTGTGAAGGCAACCTTCACAGTGTTTTTGCTGTGAAGGTTCGACTTTTTTAAACCTTTACAGTGTTCTTGATGTGAAGTTTCAAGTGTTAAAATGTGGTATCACGAAAACAGTCCGGTCTCATGTGAACCCAACCCTATATATATATACCCAACCCTATATATATATATATATANTATATATATATATATATATATATATATATATATATATATAATTGAGTTCACGTAAGACTAGTCTGTTTTCGTGAGACCCTTAAAACCACAAAATAACACTTAAACTTCAGAGTAATTCATTAAGGTATGAGAAACAGTGAACCATCACGGCAAAAACATTGTGAAGGTTTATTTACCTTAACAGTTTTTTGCTGTGAAGGTTTAATGTTATTTACGTGGTCTCACAGGTCTCACGAAAAAAAAAACTCAGTCTCACATGATCCAAGTACATCTCTCTCTCTCTCTCTCTCTCTCTCTATATATATATATATATATATAATTAGAAAAATTAAATTGATTTAATGAGGTTTTCACGATTTGTATAAATGGTTTGGTTTTTTTTTTATTTCTCCCTATATATATAGAGGAAGGATCATGCAAGAAGTTATACATTTTGCAAGAAGGCAAAATATTTCAATATCACATATGATTACATTCATTTAAGTGTTTAATCATATATGATTAAGCGTCTATGCATTGTCAATATAACATGTATTTAATCATATATAACTAAGCTTGCATATCATACATGTAATCATATATATTATTGAACTTTCTCACATCTCGTAAAATATTTAGCTTCTCGTTTGAAACCGTAGGTATGTATATATAAAATTAATGAGTTTGATGATTTTATTAAAACCTGAATGGCTGATACTTTGCATGTTCCCAACGATGGGGTGGGTGTCAAAGTCATGATGAGCTTTAATTACTACTATACCTTAAACAGTTTCAGGATGTTTTTTTTGGTGCAGGGTTCCAAGCCCATCAACTCACATTCTTTCCTTTCATGGAAATCTTGTACATTCAAACACTTACCATTTCTTTCATCTTTTCATTTTTATTTTACAGTTCTGACCTGTAATATGGCTGTAGCTGAACATCCCTGAACAATTCATGTCCGAACATGATAACATCTGGGAAATATTCTCTTAATTAATGGTGTGTTAAATATAGAGTAAGGGGTCGTTTACCAAATGTTTGCTCGGGTAAGCGCTTATCAAGTCATATTCCCTTACCGGATGAATATGGCAAGGACCAAGAATCTTACTAGGTAAGAGCGAGGGCATGAACCGAGAGTCTTACCTTACCCGGTAAGTGATGACGACAACTCTTACCATAGTTAGAGCTTACCAGGTAAATTGTTACATACGATGTCTTTTGTGTAGACTAAAATCTTACCCGATAAGTAAGAGATAAGAGTTGAAATTCACCGTTAAGCGCTTACCGGATAAGTGTTTAGGTAAACGGCCCCTAAAATCTATTTTTGCTAACATGGAGTCAAGATAAGAGGTGGTTTATTATACAACCTATTCTATTTATATAACTATTGCACCCTCAATTTTAACCGTCTATTTAATATAGTGAATATGTGGTTTTATAAATATTTTGATTGTTTCTCGTTACAAAACGTTGATCATAGTTAATGAACTCTAATTATCTTCCATAAAAACCCGAATCATAATAAATGAACCCTTATAATTTTCATAAATAATTAATTGGATTACATTGGTTATACAAATGAAATAGGTTTGCATTTGAAACGTGTTGGTCAATGTATTTATCTTTCAAATGTTATTATGTTAACTAAGTGAAAATGTCACTATCATTGAAAAAAATACTATAAAATTCTGTAATAATACGAGTAGGAGTGTTTATTTTACCCCGCGTAAGTCGTTTGAACCGCATCATGAGACTGCATCAAACTATGAGATTTAAGCCTTTCATGGTACAATTTGTGGTTGTATTTTTATATCGTTTTATACGGTTTGGTTTATGGTTTTGAATTAAGATAGCAGATTTAGCAATTAAAACCATATCGTATCCCATATTCATTTTTATTAATTAACTGTATGCATATAATTATAGATTTGGAATTATGTGAGACTAGCATGTTTTCGTGAGACTCGTGATATCACTTTTTTACACTTGAAATTTCATAGCAAAACGTTGTGAAGGTAACCTTCACAACGTTTTTGCTTTGAAGGTTCGAGTTTTTTTACCTTCACAGCATTTTATTATGAAGTTTCAAGTATAAAAAAGTGGTCTTACGAAAACAGATTGGTCTCACATGAACCTAACCCTATAATTATATATTATATTTTTAACTAAAAAATATTTATTTGCACTGTATTATTCAATAGTCCTTGGTAAGTTGTTAAGTAATAAGTACTAACCCAACATACCAGTCCAAGCCTTACACAAATAGAGAGCAAGTGCATTCATTTTGTTTATTTTACAAGTTTCATTAAAGTTTGCTAAGAACGTGAACTTAATTATATATGTTGTGTACCGTTATTTTTCACTTTATATTATATAGAATATGTACTATAAGATTTGTATTATATAGAGCTTCACCATATTTAGGTATAAATCATATAAATCGCCTTATACTTTATAGTTTTAAAGCACTTATGGTTCGATTTGTGGTTTGGAAAAAGAAACTCAAACCACACACTACCAAAATGAACCTCTTTTTCGGCGGACAAATCCGCCGGAACTTGGGTTTTCCGGCGGATTTGTCCGCGGGAAAAAAGGGCGCTGGTGATTCATTTTCCGTCGAGTTTTCGGCCCAATACGGTTCATTAAAGCCCAATACGATTCATAAAAGCCCAATACGATCCATGAAAACCCAATACGGTTCATGAAAACCCAATACGGTTCATTAAATCCCAATACGATCCATTAAAACCCAATACGGTTCATGAAAACCCAATACGGTNTTAAATCCCAATACGATCCATTAAAACCCAATACGGTTCATGAAAACCCAATACGGTTCATTAAATCCCAATACGATCCATTAAAACCCAATACGATCCATTAATGCCCAATACGATCCATTAATGCCCAATACGGTCCATTAAAGCCCAATACGGTTCATTAAAGCCCAATACTTCCATTAAAGCCCAATACGATACATTAAAACTCAATACGGTCCATTAAAGCCCAATACGTTACACTAAAGCCCAATATGTTCCACCAAAGCCCAATACGTTCCATTCAAAACCAATACAGTTCATTAAAGCCCAATACTTCCATTAAAGCCCAATACGATCCATTAAAACCCAATACGGTCCATTAAAGCTCAATACGTTACACTAAAGCCCAATACGTTCCACCAAAGCC